GAACCGTTCACGCAGCTTGCCAAGTGTCTTGGTAACACCAAGATGTCCACCGCTGGTTCCATTGTGAACTTCCTCCTAGACTTCCGGGACCCTCTTCTTTGGAATGACGATCTCCCTTCTCTCTTCTTGTCCCTCCGGTCTCTCGATCACACGGCGAAGTAATCCGTTATCTATAACCAAGGAATTCCACTGGGCCCAGTACGACTTCACGTTCGGTGAATATCTGCAAACTTCCTCCCACGTTGGTCTTTGGTCTGCGTTTTTCCAGTTAATTACTAAACCTAATTCTGGGTCACTGCTTTGGTCATTTGCAAGATCTTCGGGTTGCCAAGTATCATCAACCACAGTTGTTCTTAGGAGTTTCGCTTCTTTCTCTTCTGCTCGGGAACAATGCTTACAGTCCTTAGCGCAAGGTCTTCTGAAAAGTGCGTCGGCATTTAGATGGATTGCCCCAGCTCGATGTTCTGTGTCAAAGTCTAATTCTTGTAATCGTTCGATCCATCTAGCTACCTGCCCTTCAGGTTTCTTAAACTGCAACAGCCATTTCAAAGCAGCATGGTCTGTTCTTAACAAGAACTTTCTTCCATAGAGATACTTGTAGAACTGTTCCACTGCTTTAACTACTGCTAGTAATTCTCGTCTGGTTACACAGTAGTTCCTTTCTGGTTTTGACAAGGTCTTACTAAAATAACCAATTGCTTTTTCTTGGCCATCCTGGATTTGAGACAGAACAGCGCTTAATCCAACATTGCTAGCGTCGGTATCTAATATAAAATTTCCGTAGCCAAGAGGGTAGCTAAGTATGGGCGCACTAGTCAGGGCCTTCTTCAATTTTCGGAATGCCTCATCAGAATCTGAGTCCCAAGAGAAACGCCTCTCGCCTTCGGTAAGTCTGGTCAACAGTTTTGCGATGGTGGCGAAACCCTGTACATAGTGGGTATAGTATGTGCATACTCCCAAAAAGCTTCGTAGTTTATGTTAATCTTTAGGTATCGGCCACTCTTCCACTGTCTTGGTTTTCTGTGGATCTACCGCAACTCCTTGGGAGGAGACTACATGGCCGAAGTAATGTATCTTTTCTTGACACAGATGACATTTCTTGGGGCTAAGTTTCAAACCAGAGCTCCCTAGTCGCTTGAAAACTTCTTCCAAATTCTTCAGATGATCGTCAAAAAATTTCCCAACTACTATGATGTCATCCAGGTACACTAAACAGGTAGTCCAGGATAGTCCCTTTAACACAGACTCCATTAGTCTCTCAAAGGTAGCCGGCACGTTGCACAATCCAAAAGATATGACAGTAAATTGCCACAGTCCGGAGCCCACCGAGAACGCTGTCTTCTCTCTATCTTTAGCAGAGTTGTTAAACCACACCTAGTAATTAATAAACTACATTTATTACATGTCACAAGTAGTTTTTTAAATGTCGAGTAGTAAATGTGTAGTTTATGTAACTAATGTAGTTTTTTTTAAATAACGGTAAAAACCTAACCTAAAAACTTTGTTTGTTGATCAATTTAAAGAAATAAAAAATCTATATTTTGTGAATTTGTTCCTTATTATGTGATATTTTTGATACTTAGTAGTTAAAAATGCTTGGAAGACGTCGATGTCTCCATACCTTGCTCCATACCTTCTGGGAAGAGGGGAATTATGAAGTTGTGCCTTTAGATGTAAAAAATCATATATTCTTCTGGAGAATGTCTATGGAGAATTTCTCCATACGAATTTATAGTTTATTTTGTGTTCAATGTTACTTTGTATTTCGTAGAAAATACACTTTTGTTGAAAAAAAATTGTCTTTTTTTCTGATGTTGTTTAACTTATACAAATATAATATACCTTCATACTTCCATGATAAGAATTTGGCTTGATTTTTGTTTAAAGTCTAAATTGTTTATGTTTTACTATATTTTTGTAGGTAGTTTTTAGCGTAGTTTTTGTGTAGTTTTTGAAGGTAGTTTTTAAAATTTTAAAACGTAATTAATACAAAAAACTACGCGTAGTTTTTGGCGTAGTTTTTTGCTTCATAAACTACTTAACAACCCTGGTCTTTAGGCGCCCGCCATGTCGACTTGCCAATATCCACTCTTCAGATCTAAGATAGAGAATATTGTCGATCCCGCCAACGTGTCTAGAGTATTGTCTATCCTCGGCAGGGGATAACTATCTTTCTTTGTAACTCTATTGAGCTGCCGATAATCAACACAGAACCCGGTGGACCGTCTTTCTTCTTTACTAGTACTACCGGCGATGTCCACGGGCTGTGAGATGTTTCGATGACACCTTCTTTCTTCATTTCTCGAAGGATTTTGTCATATTCTTCACGTTTGGCGAGTGGAAGTCTTCTCGGATTTTGTTTGATTGGTCGTGCATCTCCGGTATCAATTTTATGTTGTACTAAATTGGTACGACCTCTCTGTCCTGCTTCTCCTTTATCAAACACATCTTGATATTTGATTATCAGGTTTCTCAATTTTCTACTATTTTCGGGAGGTAATCCCTTAACGTTTACTAACTCCTTGACCATTTTGTCCGGAATTTTTGAAGTCGAAACTTTGGAGGCTTCCACGCTTCGAATGACTGAGGAGACCAAACAACAGTACCCTAACAGGGTTCCCTTCTTCGAGGATACAGAATAAAAATTCGTGTTCATTACTCTCACCTTTACAGTCTTCTTCGCTCGTAACAGGGCTTTTCCAACAGCGACCCCTCGTCTTATTTCGCTGTCATGCATGGCTCCTTGGCTCCAACAGAATAATACTCCCATTATTCATTTTACCTTCCAGGCAACCCATCCAAAAATATCTCACAGCGCTCAGGGATCGAAACATTTTCTGCTACCACCACGCGAAGCGTCTTCTCGCATTTTCGATGCAGAACCACTTCTTCTTCATTTATTTCCAAAATTAATTGTTTGAGGTTTAGTTCAAAACCTCTAGTGGTCATGATGTCCATTCCGAGAATAAGTTCATCTTCGATGTCTGCTACTAACACTCGATCATTAAAACAGGTACTTCCGATAACAAAATTAAGATCTACCTCTCCATGGATGAGAGCGGATCTTCCTGTAGCTGTACGTAGTCGCCATTGTGTTGTTTTAATCCTTTTTGATGTTTTAAGGATATCCGGCCTGATGATCGTTTTGGTCGCACCCGTATCCAACAGCATGGTCAGAAAACTCTCCATCCACGAAACCATCCACAAAAATACTGTTGAACTTGTGTTGTAGCGATGCGACATTAGCAGTTTTCGTTGGAACCTGTTGGGTACTGCTCGATATGTGTCCCTTTGATTCGACACTTGGCGAAACCGGGTCCACGTCTTTTTCTTTACAGTGACTTCTTACGTGTCCTGCCTGGCCACAGTTCCAGCAACAAGTCGGTCCTTTATTGCCTATGTATTCCCCCATGACTTTCCGTACAATGCTTTCCACGGATTCGCCGGAACATTGGTTGACCGCCCGTACTCTCACTAGAGACCGAGAACTTTGTTTCGCGGCCTCAAATTCTATGGCACGTGCTAAAGCATCCACCAAGCGCGTTGGGTGGGCTAGAAGAAGCGCTTGCCTTGTCTCGCTGTCACGTAAGCCATCGCTCCATAACATTCTCGGGCGTAGCAGGATACGCAAGGCGAACGAGGCGAGCTACGTCGGCTTCAAACTCCTCCAGAGACTCATTTGACTTCTGAATGCGATTTTTTAGCTGGGAATGGTAGCAACAGTTGTGTCCCCCTTTTTTGAGTTTTAACTCCTCATACAGTTTATAACTTATCTTACATGGGGATCTTCCTGTTATAGTGAGGACAGGGTATTTCCTATCCTGTTGAACTCACTTGAGTTGTTGAGGGCTGAGCCGTTTAATCTTTTTTCTCCTTTTTTATACATTTCCCTCACTATTTCTTTCTCTTTCATATTGGTACCACGGCTAAGGGTATTGCGGCGGGTTGCTGTTGGCTACCTCCGCGGCTGTTCTGGACGAAGCCCACAATCCTGGGCGACTCTGGTTCTTGGCTGCAAATTGGGGCTTTAGGCTCCCGTTTGCTCCCTTTTTTTTTTCATCATTTATTTTCGTTTCTTCGTCAATTTTTTTTTCCATCTCCTGGGTTGCACACGGTGCCTCGTTGCATCGTTTGCTTCCCTGGATTTTGTGATTTGGGATCGGTTTCTTCGCTTCCTGAATCCTTACCGTACTGATGAAGCCTGAAGGCAGTTACATCAGTGTGCACTAGTGTAGGTGTGGTTGTGTGAGTGTGTGGGTGTGCGTGTCTGCACTGGTGTACACTGGTTTATACGGTTACGAGTTGTTGAGGGCTGAGCCGTTTAATCTTTTTTCTCCTTTTTTATACATTTGCCTCACTATTTCTTTCTCTTTTATATATATATATATATATATATATATATATATATATATATATATATATATATATATATATATATATATATATATATATATATATATATATATATATATATATATATATATATATATATATATATATATATATATATATATATATATATATATTAAAAATTACAATAAAAAATTGTAATTAAAATATAGGTATCAATATTTCATGAATTTAGTACGCGAACAAACTCTTAAAACTAACTAAACTCTTAAACTCATTTTTAATTTAATTATATCATTATTAATTAATTAATTATAATCATTTCGAGACATATAAGTCAAAATTCTAAAGGGGGATGTTTTGTAAACGGCACCTGCCGGCATCGAACAAAATATTGTTTGCCAGTATTTTGTGAACGGAGCTTTATTAAATTTGGCGACTGATTGTGCCATCTCTCCGTCATACTGTAAAGTACGCAAAATTGAATATAGAAATCTAGCCATTTAATTTATAATTTCCTCTTTCAACCGTAGTTTGCTTTTCTATCAACGTTTAATGAATATTGTAGTTCAGTTAGATTTCCATAGAGGGCACGGGTAAAAAGAAAATATCCAGAAAAATAATAAAACAATAATATTTTTTTAAAACAATAAATAGATTTGTATTTACACATGTTAAGCTAACAAATAACGATAAAGCAACAGGGATTAACTGGCCTAGCAGTAAAATATTTTATAACAAAAAATACAAAGTAATATTAATATTTATTAGAATATTTACTTCCCTGGTGTCTTTTTAAATATTGTAACTGTAAGATTGAAGGTACATATGAATCAAGAAGACTTTTTGGTTCTCTTTTAATTACGACTTCTTCTTGATTGTAGTACCCTGAACTTGGAGCTGCCTGCACATATTGTACAGTTTTTGGTCTTGAGTACTGCTTTGTTGAGACGTATTTTACGGTGGTCTGTTTGACAGGTGGGGGAGTCTCGTACGTTACTGCATAAGCTTGTTGGTACTTTGGCTCTACTGGTATGGAGTTATGTGTGTTTGAAGGTACATAAGTAACGTACTGGACAGGTGCTAAAAATAAATAAAAAAAATTGAGTCCGTTTTTTTAAAATTCTGTATAATATACAGGGTTGTTCACTTCACAACATAAGACACGGAGTATTGTAGCCTCGATTGTAGCTAAACGATTCGACATTTACAAATTGTAAGTTTTGGGTTCGTTGAAGGACTATTAAAGCTACAATTTAAAAATAATTTTACAAGATACAAAGTGTTCCAAATAAGTTAAAAATATTATAGTTGTATTTTTTTAAATGGAACACCCTGTATATTATTCTATATTTAAATTCTACGATTGAAATAAAGGTAAATTTGATTAAAGTTTATCACACTTAAACCTTGTTTAATACAAACTGTTTTTGAAATATTTTCAATTTTGTGAAACTGCAGTAAAAAATTTGAGGCTTCATCCCTCCAAGGGTATCAAAGTTTTTAATACTAAATATTTACTGAAGATTATTTATTGATCAAATATTGTGTTGCAATAATAAAAATTATACTATCTTGTACAGAGTGTACCAAAATTTATATTAAATAATTACTAGCTTTAATCGACAACTTGCTTAATTTAAATGGAACACTTTGTATATTTTACGAGAATCAGATGCACAATTTAATTGTCTATCAAATTGTATTATACCATTTTTTACCTATCCCTTCAAGTTTTCGTAGAAAATGCCATTTTCTTATAATTTAGACCTCATTCAACAATATACCCATGGAATATTGACATTTTAAATTTTTTAAAGCAAAATATGAAGAAAATATACAGGTGGTAAAAATAATAATGTTGCAAGCCAATTTGTTTACAAAAAGAAAACTATTTAAATCTTTGTAAAAGAGTATACCAATTAAATATAACAATATTATTTCCGTCCAAAAATTAGTTAATTACATACTTAAATACTTACATTTGTTTTAATTAATAAATTATTCTAAATAAATGTGGATGTGACTCATCAATGACAAAAATCAATATAAAAATAAGTTATGAAAATGAACGTCTCTGTTGTTATAAACAAGCATTCGTCAAAAATTAAATAAAAATTAATAAGGTATTACTTTTTATCACACTGTCTCTAATACACATACAAAATTCATTTTTTTAGTATTTGGAGGAATTATTATTAATCAATGTAAACATTCAATTTTAATGTAGTTTCAATATTGGAATCATATTAATTGGTCCCTTGTAACAAAAAAAGATTTAAACAGTTTTTTTTTAATTTTCTAATGAAATAAGCAAACTATATCGAAAATATTACTCTATCTGGTACTCTTTAAAAATTTGTTACATCTTTAAAAATAATCTAAAATGTCAATAGTCCATAGGTATATTCATAAATAAGCTCTAAATTACAAGAAAATGCATTTTCTACGGAAACTTAAAGAGATAGCTAAAAAATGGTATAATAAAATTATTATTTGACAGACAATTAAATTTAAATTAAACAAATTTTTTTTTACAAGCAGCGTCCGTTTAGGTTTAACGCCAGAAGTGTTTACAAAAAATAATTATTTTATTTTGTAGATTTTTCTTGCAGTGGAGTGGCGAAAAACCCATAAGGATTTTTTTGGATAAATTAAACAAGTTATTGCCTTTTAAAGCTAGTAATTATTTAACATAAATTTTTGGACACTCTGTACAAGGTAGTTTAATTTTTATTGTTGCAACACAATATCTAATTAATAAATAATTTTCAGTAAATATTTAGTATTAAAAACTTTGATACCCTTGGAGAAATGAAGCTTTGAAAATTTTAGTGCCATTTCATAAAATTGAAAATATTTCTAAAACAGTCACGTTTAAGGGTCATAAGCCGTAATCAAATTTACCTTTATTTCAATCGTAGAATCTAAAAATAGAATAATATACGGGGTGTTCCGCTTAAAAAAATACTACTATAATATTTTTTACTTATTCGCGTACTCTGTATCTTGTAAAATTATTTTTAAATTGTAACCCTAATAGTCCTTCAACGAACCCAAAACCTACAATTTATAAAAATCTAATCGTTTAGTTACAATGTATATAGTATGGTGTCGTATGTGGTGAACAACCCTGTATTTGTGATCTTAAAATATGGCTATGTAATGAAGATCGCGTTCATTTTATATGTAAAACTAGCGTGTACCAGCGTCTTCGTTAGCATCGAATTAATCATTTGTAATGGTGATGATAAAGCAAAGCAAGAATTTCCATTGACATACAAACTGGATAAAATTTTCTCACATTTTTGTCAGCATGAGAAAAAACAGATATGGCGATATTATTATATAACTTGGTAATATTTGAGGGGTAGTTTCATCTCGTTGGAATTTGACTTTCGAAAAATCCGTTTTCCAAAAATAAGCTTTTTACGTCAAGCAGTTTAAGCAGAATCGTGGTTAAGAAATTACCAAACTTTTTGGAACACCCTGTATGATTTTCTGAAAAATTTCAAAATATGTAAGAAAAAACAAATAAATTATGCTTGTCCAAGCGTTCTCCCGAAAGACTAACCGTTTTTTAAATAACAAATATTGTAATATTTGAGGGGCGTTTTCACCCTCTTGAATTTGAAATTGAGAAACCATTCCTTATCGAACCTCTACACCCCACAGTCAATCCGTTTGCGAAAAATCAGCTCTTTAAACATCAAGCAGTTTAAGCAGAATCGTGATTACTTAATGGTCATATTTTATGAAACGCCCTGTATAAATTTATAAAAAATCTTAAAAACATGTAAAACAACAAAATAGAATATACCTGTTTAAGAGTTTTTCCAAAAAACGCACCGGTTTTTAAATAAAAATATTTTAATATTTGAGGGATAGTTTCACCCCTTAGAATTCGAGTTTCTGAAAATCCCTTCTTATCGAACCTCTACACTCTAAAGTCAATCCGTTTGCCAAAATCAGCTTTTTACCTCAAGCGCTTTAAGCAGGATCGTGATTAATCAATGACCAGATTTTTCGAAACACCCTGTATACATTTTTAAAAAATCTTAAAATATGTAAAAAACGAATTAAAATATACGTGTTTAAGCATTTTTTTCATAAACTTGGCCGTTTTTTAAATAAAAAATATTGTAATATTTGAGGGGTGGTTTCACCCTCTTGGAACTGGAATTTCGAAAAATCCCTTCTTATCGAACCTCTACACCCTAGAATCAACCTGTATGCCAAAATTCAGTTTCTTACGTTGAGTGGTTTGAGCAGGATCGTGATTAATCAGTATGTCAGTCACTTAAGGATATTAGTATAGATTATATGGGAAATATTATTGATCGCGTCATTTCCATGCCAACTCGACGCGGTTTTTTTTCGATTATAATTCGGTATTAATATTACAGCTGGGGATTGGAACCCTTGGTGTTACACAGGGGTGGATGGGGAAGTGGAAACCGGCCCGGGAATAACAGGCAACCGGCCCAAATCCACAAAAACAAAATGACCATAACGAAGAAACATATTTTATTTATTAATATACAGGGTGTCCCAGAAATAAGTGCAAGTGTTTTAACTGGTAGTATATTTTGGCTTCAGAAACACGCCTATCAGTTTTTTTTGCGAAAATTTGGAATTTTTTGAAGAAATTTTTGGATTTTTTTTTTTAGTTTTAAGTTAAGAAAACATAATTTCTTGATAATCTCTCAACATAGGTAGTAGATTAAATTTACATGAAAGAAAATACAGAAAAGATCCAGTAGTTCTCAAAATTTCAGCAAGAAAGCATTTTTTGTTTAAATTTTCAAAGTAATATAACTCGGTTATTTTGGATTTACTTTAAAAACGGTAAAGAGAAAAAATGTTTCTTTTCACCAAATCTGCCCTCTTAAAATACTTGCACTTATTTCTGGGACACCCTGGGTAAGGGTCAAATCACCCCAAGTGAGGGTGATTTTCGCTCGGGCGAAAAAATCTCTTTTGCCTCCAATTTTTTAAAAATATTGAAATTGTCTTGATCAAAATTTTTATAAAGATCAATATCGGATCGGACATCTGAATTTTTAGTATATAGCTCAGTTTCACAGGGTTCTACTGTTCTATCTCCATTATCGATAACGGTAATTTGATCTTGAATATGCTACGATTTTCAATCAGGGTTTTGAGAAACTTTAAGACTTCCTGATTCATTCAGTTCAGCTGGCCCAATCCTCTGTGAAATACATTATTTTTAACTTTTCAGGTATATACTTTCTTCCAGATTGTAGAAAGAAATTCTCTTTTCTGGTACAGCAGTAGCCTCGTCATGTATACGTGTTTTAATTTTGGTATAATTCTCATTGCCTAACTTTTCCTAGTTTCTACATTTGATATTTTGTATAATAATGCCATGACTCAAACGAAAAAAAAACTTGGCAATACCTATAAGCAGTGGATATAAATGTGTTTTAATAAAAGAATAGTGGTAAAACTATACAGAATGAGTCTTAAATAAGTGCAAATATTTTCAGGGGTGGTTCGACCCCAAGAACACGTCTATGAATTTTTTTTGTAAAAAAAGATGTTGAAAATCGTGTTTTTTCTTTTAAATTTTCCTGTATATTTTAGAAAATTTTTTAAAACTTCCTGTTCACCGCAAATTTTCCCACGAGATAGTTTCTTAATCTTTGAGATTACGGCACAAAAGAGATGCGAATACAGAAAGATTTAGGTGGTAAACATTTTTTAAAATTAATCATTTTTAAATTCAAGCTTTAATAACTCGGTTATTTTGGACTTATTTGAAACACAGTAAAGAGAATATATTATAGATCTACCAGCCCTAAAAATATTTGCACAAAGCAGCACAAATAAGGTGCACTTATAGACTCACCTTGTATAATAAAACATTTCAAATGGAACAACAAACAACAGATGTTTATTAAAATTATAAGTGTCTCAGAGGAAGACATCTAACAATAGTTATTTCACAAATTGGTGTTTATGTTTAAAAGCAACTAACGATTATATTGATGCAAATTGATTAGTTAGTTAGGCAGTCACTAAGAATCTTACATAACTTTAGTTAGAAGATTAACGACTTAATTTTTGCTAAATCAATCTTTTTTGAGCTCTGATCGGCATCGGGACCGACCCACCGGCCCATCTTCCCACCGGCCCACCGGCCCATCTCCCCACTGGCCCACCGGGAATTTTCCCGTTTTCCAATATGGCCCATCCACCCCTGGTGTTACAACAGCAAAATAAAACTCTTAATTCACTACAATATACTAAAACACTTTACTTTTGCACTAAACATGCGTTTCGCTAACTTTATGTTAACATCATCAGCAGATGATTAAAAGTGATCGACTGTCAGTCTTTTTGTAAGTTTTTTTTGTAATTACTTAGTATGATACCACCTAAAGAACTCTAGCATACACCATAGGCGTAGTTAAAACATTTATCAAAAATATAAATATCTTTATGCAGCTTGATGTTGTAATCCTTAGTCACTGGATATACTAAACTAATTTAAATGATTTTTTTTTCCATAGCAACTGTTAAAATTGCCTTATATCTATCAAAAATACTAGATAAAATAATATTTTAACCCGCAAGGGTAGATTAAATGATACTTTAACAGCGAGGATAGGTTAAAAACTTTATTTCTTCTCGCACGTTTTTTAATTGGTTCCATTTTTGAAAATTTTTGTATTTCTTTTCATAAGTTATTCGGGATTTAAATGGAAGTAGTTTGGATATGGCGTTTGTTGCCTCAGCTTGAATATCTGTTGGTAATTTACTTATATTTCGTTTTGAGCCATTTCTGGCTCCAATTCAATCAGCAATCGACACGAAAGAGAATTAAAAAATATTGACTCAAAACTGACAACTAAAGAGACAGCTTTATTTATTTGTCAAATTACATAGAAACCAACGCCAACCCAGCACAATATTTTTTCTACTCTTAATATACTTGTATTCATTTAAAACTTCCCAATATGGCGGACTTCAGTATGGAAGACTTAAAAAACGAAAATCTCTAGACTGGAATCGACTGTGGTTCAAATCGTCCAAATTGATAATCTGTGGTAAATCCAATTGAACTCTCTGACACTTGGCTGACATTGACGTTTACGGTTCCTTTTTCTAAATATTTTCATTGTTTTTTAAGTTTTTATTCGCAAATTCTACTTGATTTTGTTCTTTTATTTAACCTACAGCCTGCAGTACTAATTATATAGTTATAAATAATCTTTATACCGATCAAGAACTGAGGAATAGGCTGGAAGATATTCAAAATGTGTAAAACGCTTAAAAACGTATTAGAAAACATTGACTCGTCCACGAATTCGTGAAAATAAATTAGTCCAGATGTTTGTAAAAAGGTCTCTAATTATTTTGAAAAGTTTCCTCGTATCAATAATTTTCAGGTTTGTTTATATGTATATGATAATATATAGATTAAAACTTATATTTCAGGAAACAGCCCGGGCATTACAGATTGTTGTAAATCAATTTTAAAATACAAAGAAGGTTTAAAACAGGTTTAAAAGTTGAGTTAGTAGAGAAGACCTAAATAAGGTAATGTTGGTAATGGGACCAAAAATCAAATAACACTTGAAATATATAATATGTACAATAATTGTAAGTAGTTTTTATGAATCTGTTTGATATCTATTGCATTGTTTTTATATTTCTTGAAATATATATTTTTTACTTACAGGATAGACAAAGAATAATAAAAAATACAGTTACTCACCAAAAACCCTTAAGGTTTGTAATAGATGTAGTTAGAATATCAAACACCAAACCAAACCAAAAATTATGTTCTATTTTGCTGGTATTCCTCACATTTGAAAGGAAAGTCATTTCATAAATAAGCAGGACATAGTATAGTACACTCTATATTAATAATTCTTTTTTATCATATACTTTTTAGTTGACACATTGCTTACTAGGTATAAAATTTAGTACTGATTCCAAACCTATAGTTGTGGTTGTGATATGATGTGTGTTTCTGGCAATTTAAAATAAGTTAATATTTAAACAAACATTTCTGGCTTTCCTGACAGGAGTGTGAACACAAATTTAATAAAGGTATAATGTGGATAATGTTCTGATTATTACAGTTTGCATGGATGTTTTGTATGTTATTATTTTTAATAAAGAATGAGTTTTTGAGTATTTCTTTTTCCTCAGAGGATTGTGTGATCTTTTATATATAAATTTTTATAAATTATATCTACAAAATTTATTACCTTATAACTTTTTGCTAAAGACTTTGTAGTTGATACAGTTTAACAGTATATAAAAGAACTATTTCAATAAGATGTTTGAAAATATATAGCTGTTTTTGCACACATCAATTCAATTTGTGATTAACTGTACTGAAGTAAAAACAAATTAAGAGAAATGAGGTGATCTATAAACTATAACATGAAACGCATCCTCCTATTTCCAAGTCTTCTATTAATTTCACTTATTAAACAACTATAATTATTCAATAATCTCGATAATTCTAGGAACTCTCAGATATCGTCAAAACATGAAAACAAAAATTCACTTCTTATAGTTCTTACGTCCCTTTTAACTGAAATATAAGAAACAGGGAGTTAATATTCTCACTGAGAAAGTTTATAAAATACCTTTAAGTAAAATCTCTTCGGATCTGCGGAAAATACCTTATTCTTATTAAATAATTTCAATAATCTATGTTTTTATGACAACCACCTAATAACCTAACTTTAACGTCAACCTGATAATCCTGAAAAACTGTATTGTTAACCAAAGACTAAATCAATTTCTGAATTCGCTAACGCCAACTTATTTTTTTCAAATTAAAAAATATTGACTCAAAACTGACAACTAAAGAGACAGCTTTATTTATTTGTCAAATTACATAGAAACCAACGCCAACCCAGCACAATATTTTTTCTACTCGTAATAAATTCCTTGAAATAATAATTTCTGAATATTTTTTAAAACGTAACTCGCTATGGAAAAAAATATTGTTTTGTTGATACACGACGATAAAATTGCATTATCGTCGACCGAAAAGATTAATTCACGAGCAATGAAATCGCGAGTGAATTAATTTCCATTATAATTTCCATTAATTAAATACCATTTTATCGTCCCGTATAAAAACTAACTATTAATTCTCACCTTTTGGGTCAACAACAGTCTGGACCTCTGTACTAGGTGCTTGATATTGCTGTACATAATAGTATTGAGGACCAGCAGAATATTGTTGATGTCCATCCGATTGCGACTGTGTCACTGAGTTATCACTGATGTACTGTACAGCTGGATATTGCTCATATTGCGGAACTGATTGCTGATATACTACGTTACTTTGGCTTTTGCCGTCAGTTTGTGCATACGCTTGAGTGAGTTGAGCAAGGTACTGCTGAGCATCGTAGTACTGTTGAGCGTAATCTGACGTAGATGGGGTAGCATAAGCTGTGCTGTATTGTTGCTGCTGAGGAGCTGAGTATTGTTGTTGAATTATTGCTGGATTAAAGGAAGGTTTAGCTGGGTAGCTGGTTTGGTAATACTGAGTTTTGGGTGAGGTTGCTGCATATGATGCCGCTGTCCGAGCTGGAACGAAACCGAATTTCGTTGGAGATTGTATGGTACTACTCTTTTCCTACAAAACAAATAATATAATACAATTATTTTATTTATTTTAAACTGTTTTTTGTGTTCAAGCATGGTCCTAAAATTAAAATATTTAAGTCTATAGTGCAATGTGTCAAAAAGCAGAAAAAAATATGGTGTATTTGAAGAGTATAAGCTACTGAAGCAACATTTTTACATTAGTGCTTTAACTTTTTGTCACATATCAACCTACCGTTACTTGCGATGTTACCGATGTCTTATCACTGGTACTCAAATCTCTTTCGATATCTTCCAAACTTATTTTTTCCGATCCACTGAGGCCAGCGCTCACGGAAACCAATAAAATGCTTAGAAGTACCAAAGGTTTTGCCTGAAACAAAATTATTACATAATATACAGGGTTAGTCAACAATAGAGTAAAAATTATAAGGAAGGTTAAGATACAAACATTTTAAAATTATTAAGAGTATACAGGGTGCTTCAAAAAAGTATGGCGGATATAACATATGTTTTTTTTAAATGCAATACCCTGTTTTTTATTTTATTTTTAGATCCTGTGCAAAATTCTATAATTTTTTTATATATAATGTTATATACATAAAATGAATAGTTGTTGTAATATCTGAATTTGTTCAAACAAATGTTAGATATAGGTATGGTTTGGTTTGGTGATGCCATTGTTTCTGAAGTAGGACTACTCAAATTTAGTAAGAGAGTTTTACAGAGATGAAGAAAAAGATATATTAGTTAAATGCTACAGGGTATTCAAAATATATATGAGTTTCAACTACCTAAAATCAGAATTCAGAAAAAATGATAATATACCGGGTGCGTCTCAAAAGTGGCTCGCCCCTATAACTTTTTTATTTTTTTAGATGAAAAAACGAAACTTGGTATGGTAGTATACGACCTAAATTAGGATTGATGGACGGCATTCAATTGTTTTTGGTTACTTCCTGTTTCACTGGAAAAGACTACAACTTTTGATTTTTAAATGGCCCCTTCAGTATTTTTTTACTTTATTCGATAGAAAATGACATTCTGAACAGAATGACAGACCACATGTCAACTTTTGACATTCTCACTTAAGAAAAAATCCGTATTTTATATTTCAATCTAGAGTGTCATGCCAATGTTAAAAACACTGTAATAATTTTTAATGAAAGGGCCTTGGAAAAATAGATTTGATCGTCTAATGTTTTAGTGTCTTATCCTGGCCTCCTTGACATATGATATGTCATTCTATTCATACCGAGACTGCCATTTAAAAATCAAAAGTTGTAGTAATTTCCGGTGAAACAGGAATTGACCAAAAACAATTGAATACGTCAATCAATCCTAATTTATGTTAAATACTAACATAGCAAATTTCGTTTTTCTATCTGAAGAAATAAAAAAGTTATAGGGGTGAGCCACTTTTGAAACGCACCTGGTATACGGTATGCCTTTTACAAAAAAGAGATTTTTTTTAAATTTTAAGTGGTCGAAATTGATAAATATATTTTGTAGTACTTTTTTGCAGAACCATATAATAATTTTAAATTGTGTATCTTAACCTTTCCTATATCTTTTATATTTAACATTTTTTGTAGATTTATGAACCGACATTCATAAAGCATGAAAAATTAATGTTCGGAAATAATTATTTAAATAATAGGAGTACTTTCTATGAGGAATGCGGAACGGTGTTTTCTAGATTAGGAAACAGCATTGAAAATTAAGCTGTTTTAATTTTTTGAAGAATAAGATAATCTCTTTCATTCGATTCATTCATCACACGAGACAGTAAATAATAATGCACCATGCTGTGTGTGGTCTCGAAAAGTTGCATATAGACATAAAGCAAAGGCGCAACAAAAAGAAATAAAAACAATGACAAGACTTATTACTATTTAGCTGAAGGTAAAAGTGAAAGTAGACAAAGAAGGACCCTATGCTGCACACTGCAAAGAATTGAAGCAGAAAAATCTGCCTTGCTTGGGCGTGGCGATATTACGTTTCTTCTTACGTCATAATACCTTTCGCGAAATTTTCATATTTCTTTTATTGGCCTTCTCAAAATCTCCCACAGTGTAGACAGTTCGTGAAAATAATAAATCCGTTGTATTGGTATTGCATCTTTCTTAAACTTTTTGCGCAAGTGGTATATTAAAATAAAATATTTTTAGTAAAATTTATGAAGGGGTGAATGTAGTTTTAACCCTCCCCGTACTTCCTCATGCTTTTTTGTAAAACTCAAGTGTTAAAGCGCTTAGCAAAACATAGGCACCTCAAATGTTTAATTATAGAGGGTGAGTTTTAAATAAGTGCAAATATTGTATATGCCATAAATTAGGATTGATTGACGTATTCAATTGTTTTCGGTCACTTCCTGTTTCACCGGAAATAACTACAACTTTTGATTTTTAAATGGAACACTCGGTATTTTGTTACTTTATTCGATAGAAAATTACACTCTGAATAATATGACGTATCATATATGTCAACTTTTGACATTTTCGAACATGTTTATTTTAAATTGCAACATGCGAATCATAACGACAATTTGACTCGAAAAACCAAGTGTATGGTACCATATTATTCGTAAAAAATGCTTTTTACAAATATGCTAATGAGCCATTCTTGTTCCATTTGAAAAAAATTGGCGCCGGGAGGCACGTATAGCCGCCCATACTAAAATATGTTAATATCTCGAAAACTGCGACTTTGACTGATTTTGATGTTATTACAAATTAGGTTTTTCCCGCGACTACGTTCGCGTTACACCTCGAATAGTTCATGCATTGATTTAAATGATTTACTTTGTATGTAGAGCTAGTGAGCCTTACAAATGTCCTATTTAAACTATGTTTTTAGGAGTTTTAGAGCTACTCGTATTTCATATGAAAGTTATCAATTGTCGATTTTTTGGGTATTATACAGGGCCAATCAATCAATTGTCGATTTTCTGGGTATTATACATTATATTTATTCGCGAAAAAACTCATAATCGTGTTTCTGGGGTCAAATATACCTACTACCGCTAAGAATAATTGCACTTATTCAAGACTCGCTCGACAAAAAATCGATATTGTTATTTTTGACTTATTACATATTTTTTACTTAAAATTTATAAAAAGCCGTCAAAATTCCAATATCAAGAGTATTTTTATTCTCTTTAAATATTATTATGTACTTAAGAAAATTCGAAAATTTAAAAACCGTTTTTTATTTTTTCATCGCCTGTAGGTATATGACTTTATGACACACTTTGTATACTTTGTAACTTTTGATTAGAGCCGCCTGAAATAGAAAATCTTCATAATTCTAGAAGTTATCGAAATCAAGGTATTTCAAAGAAGTTCAATTTTGGCCACAAAGTGTTTTTGAAATCTTGCTTTTTTTAAAAATTTTTTTCAATTTTTTCTAACTACTTCCATTGACTGAAACTAATTATGTATGGTTGGATAGAGGGTGGATGGCGATCTTCCAGGGCGGTTTTTTATTTCTTATTTATATATAGATTATTTTCGAAATCGAACCAAAGTCAATTGCAAAGAAATTTTGCAAAATCTATAAATAAAATCTCTCCAAAATAATAAATAGTAAAATGATTATTTAGCCTCTTTAGATAGAACCCCTACCTATGGTCCCATATAAACTGTATTACTAAAATAAATAGTTTTGAAAAAATGAATATTTGAAATGTTCAATTGTCGCTTTACTTAATATACTCCTTTGATATTTTTTTTTATTTTTCACCTCTTTTTTTGGTTTATTAAGAGCACTAATACTCCATTTATAGTTATTTTTTATTCCTTGAAGGATAATTGAAGAAGAAATATAGAAGTTTATATTATTGATGTGTCACTAAATAAACCATTGTATAAAATTTTATATTGCTAGATGTTATAGTAATGCATTTTCGTACAGCAAACTTTCATTCCCTATTCTACTCCCTAAGATTATAAATTTCATAAAATCGCTTTATCCAAATAATTAACTCATGTCTTTTAAATGATCCTTTGTGCCAATTTTTATGTGTATAATCCAGAGGTCACCAAGTTTTATATAAATTTTTACTAACTTTACCCATTTGGTTGATGAATTTGAAAAATCTCTTCTAATTCTTTTTGTAGGATTTCATTCTTCTAAACCACATAGTAAGGAATTTTCACACAACAAATTGTTCCGACATAATTTTACTCTCTAAGAGGATGAACTTCCTAAAATCGCTTTGTGCAGCTAATTCACTAATGTCGTGTAAACGAACCTTTGTTCTAATATTTATGTATCTAAAGCTAGCTGTATGAACTGATTCCTAAACTAAAAACCTATCTAAAAACTTGATATATAATCTAACTGACAAACCACTGACAATGACAAATAATTTATTTCTGGAGGTATTGTGTGTAGGTGTTTTTCAGGTATGTTTTAATATTTAGTCGATTTACACAAGAAATAGCCATTCAACAATTTGAAAAATACTTCATAACAAATCTAGACATATATACCTTTCATTTAAAAAAAACGCGTTTCGCTAGCTACTGTAATTTTGGAGTTACGATTTTTTTTAATTTTTAACCCCCTCCAATACCCCCTTACGAACCCCCCACCCCCACCAAAAACTAATGGCCAGATTCTCGGGTGCCACAGTATTTTTGTGCCAAATTTGGTTAAAATCGGTTCAGCGGTTTTTGAGTTATCGTGTTACAGACGGCAGACAGACAGACAGACAGACAGACAGACACCACGAAAATATTTTGTATTTAGGTCATTTGTGACCCAAATAACTCATTTTGAGTGAAATTAAAAAATTTTTTTTTTTGCCAATCCTAATAGCCTACCATACCTATTGGTATGGTCGGCTAAAAATGAGATATGATTAAAAATACGATTTGGCCATGTTTTAACCGACCAGAACAAGGCACTGAAAACATTAGACGATCAAATCTATTTTTCCAAGGTTCCTTGATAAAAACTAGTGTTTTTAATACAGCCACAGCCTCGGCCCCACAGCATTCTAGATTGACATTTAAAATATATTTTTTTAAATGAAAATGTAAAAAGTTGACCTATGATATGTCATTATATTCAGAGTGCCGTTTTCTATCCAATAAAATAAAAAAAAATAGAGAGGGTGCAATTTAAAAATCAAAACTACATTTCTGGTGAAACAGGAAGTGACCAATAAGAATTGAATACATCAATCAATCCTAATTTATGTCATATACTAACATACCAAATATGGTTTTTTAATCTAAAAATATAAAAAAGTTATAGGGGTGAGCCACTTTTAAGACGCACCCGGTATATAAATTGCAATCTTCTTAAGACCAACCAACTGCCAGTAAGCGCCATTAAAAATTAGAGAAGAGTACGAGCAAAGTAAATGACGCCTAGGGTTTGACCTCGTCAAAATCATCATCGATTGTCATGACCCAACCTACTTTGACGCCGTTTTTTTTTCGATTGTATGGCATTTCTATCTGCTAATTAATTTTTATAAAGTCATTTTTATACAGGGTGAGTCTTAAATAAGTGGTATTAGATATTTTTCGCGGAAAAGAAATTTTCAAAATTTGAGAATTCAAAAAAATGGATTTTTTTTTAGTTTTTAGTTAAAAAATATAATAGCCTAATAATATGACAACATAGGTCGTAGATTGAATTTACAGGAAAGAAAATCCAGAAAAGATCCAGTGGTTCTCAAAATTTAAACAAAAAAATATTTTTTTTGTATATTTTTAAAGTAATATTACTCCGTTATTTTGGTCGCTTTTGGGCTTTTTATTGACATTTATTTATACAGGGTAAATCTTAAATAAGTGCAAATATTTTCAGGGCCGGTAGATTTCGATATTCTCGATAAAAGAAACAGATATACAGATATAATATTTTTACCATGTTTTCAAATAAATGAAAAATAACCGATATATTTTACTTTTTCCAAAAAAAAAATATTTTTTGCCAAAAATTTTGAGAACCACTGGGCTGGGTTTTCTTTCCTGCAAATTTAATCTATTATCTATGTTACCATATTATTAAGAAATTATGCTTTTTAACCAAAAACTAAAAAAAATCCAAATTTAAAAAAAAATCGCGAAAAAAAAATTATAATCGTCTTTCTGGGGTCGAAATATTCTTCCCCTAAAAATATTTGCTCTTATTTTAAGACTCACCCTGTATTTTAAATATATCCTAATATTAACTCAAAAAAAAATAATCCGGCGCCACCATTTCTTAAATCTTAAAATTATGTAAAACAAAAAAACGAATAAATAAACTCACCATTCTAATATGAAAAATAAACATAAACATCAAGGAACACACTTGCGGACTGCGGTAATACGATTGGCAGAAGCTCCACCACACTCGACGAATTTAAAACCTTTCACAAGGTGAAGGCTGATACCTGAGACATAGCTCGCGGCCAGCCCTACCCGCAGCTCCACAGGACGATTTTCGGATTGACAGGCCGCAGGACATGACTAGGGATGGGCAATAATGATATTTCCTATCGATAAGTTATCGCCATTCAACTATCGATATATTTTAGTTATCGATATGTCGATAGATGGAATTATCAATAGACAATTATCGATAATTCGATACATCAATAACTATCGATATATCGATAACTATTGCATTACCGTTAGTTCGGTTTATCCATTTATACCGAGTGCGTCTCAAAAGTGGCTCACCCCTATAATTTTTTATTTTTTTAAATAAAAAAACAATATTTGGTATGTTAGTATATGACATAAATTAGGATTGATTGGCGGTATTCAGTTGTTTTTGGTCGCTTCCTCTTTCACCAGAAATGACTACAACTTTCAATTTTAAACGGCACTCTCGGCATATTTTTGCTTTATTCGATAGAAAATGACACTCTGAATAAAATAACTTATCATATGTCAACTTTTGACATTTTCACTTAACAAAACATCGTATTTTAAATTCCAACCTAGAGTACCATGGCTATACAGGGTATTTCAAAAAACATGTGCCATCTCTCGTGGGGAGATTCCTCGCGGAAAAATAAGATTAATTTTTGATATCAACATAGGTCCGATTCCGCTTTGTTTCGTAGCTATAGGGTGTTAAAATCTTAATATTTTTTCGATTTATTATTATTTTCGTCCAAATCAGTACTTTTAGCGTTTTGAATTAAATTTTTAGGGTAAAAGTTACTATAAATGCGACATATTCACCAGGGACGTGCATATGGGTTGTCACTGAATTATTTTTCTAAAAAAAGCATGTACGCCACTGACTTTTGTTTCTCTTGTTAGCGAAATAGTGTAAGCAGTTTAATGCGGATTAAAAGTTATCTCTTAATATTTTGTCGAATTCGGCCTCCTTGATGAGATAAACGCAATTTTATTAATCCATAATTAATAAAATTAAAATAAAAATAAAATTAATAAATTATATATTTTACCTAATTTATTATTAAATATTATTACTATTAGTTATTATTACTATTAGTCCATCCTACAGCAATTTTAAATAAAAAAATTATGGTATTTAAGATTTTTACAGAAAACCTAATTTTAAAAAGATTTAACATCCTGTAACTCTAAAACTATGCATTTCCATACCTATGTTTATAAGAACTTTTTTTCATATTTTTTTATGAGGAATCAATGAGTGCTTATTTTAAACTTTCGCAAGTTAATGATATTAATTTTTTTTAAAGGTTGCGATTAGACTTGGATGAAGGCAAATTGATCAAATTGCGTTTATCTCATCAAGGAGGCAGAAATCGACAAAATATCAAGAGACAACTTTTAATCGGCATTAAACTGCTTACACTATTTCGCTAATAATAGAAAAAAAAATCAGTGGCGTACATGATTTTTTTAGCTTTTTTTCCCTGGTGAATATGTCGACACTTTTTTAGCTGTGAAATATGTCGGATTTATAGTAACTTTTACCCTCAACATTTCATTCAAAACAGTAAATGTACTTGGAAGAAAATTAAAATAAATCGAAAAAATATTAAGACTTTAACACCCTGTAGCTACGAAACAAATCAGAATGGGACCTATGTTGATATGAAAAACAAATCTTATTTTTACGTGAAATCTCCCCACGAGAGACGGCACATGTTTTTTGAAACACCCTGTATATGTTAAAAACACTAATTTATTTTTAATCTAGGTGCCTTGGAAAAATAGATTTGATCGTCTAATGTTTTTCGTGTCTGGTCCTGGCCGATGGCCGGTTAAAATATGCCCAAATCGTATTTTTAAAATATATCAATTTTTTCAAATGGAACGAGGGTGGCTCATTAGCATAGTTGGAAAAAGCATGAAAGTTTTTTTACGAATAATTTGGTACCACACACTTGTTATTTCGAATCAAATTGGCATTATGAACCACATGTTCAATCTCATATAAACCATATGAGCAAATATCAAAAGTTGACATATGATATGTCACTATATTCAGAGTGCCATTTTCAATCAAATAAAGTAAAAAAAATATTTTAAAAATGGTCAAGAGAAAATATGTTTCTTTTGGCCAGATCTACCACCCCTTAAAGTACTTGCATTTATTTCTGAGACACCCTGTATAAAGAATAGATCAAAAGCTTGACCAGAAACCAATCCCTTATTTTCATAAATTATTTTATCAATACTATACAGGGTGTTTCAAAACAAATGCAAAAAACTTCAAGGGGTGATTCCTTGTTCAAAATAAAGGGTAGTTTGCTTTATAAACGTTGGGTAAAAAGTAAACCATTAGGGAGATATCGCGGTACAAAGATGGCGGAAAAATAATGTTTTTATTTTTTATCTTGAAAACGAAAAGAGATAGACTAATGAAATTTTATGGAAGCATTACTGTTATGAAAACACACTTTCTGGTAATTTTTTCACTTTTTTAAAATGAGTGGAAGGGGTTGAAATAAACTACCCCTATCATTCTTGTTAACGAAATTTAAAGAAAAATCTTATCAAACTCATGCAAAAAAATTAATTTTGATAGTTTAGTTTGTTTAGAAACTTTTTTATCTCTTGTGTTTTTTTGATAAAACTCATCGATTTGAAATTAAAAAATAAAATGTAAAGCATTACATGTCAGGACAAAAAACATTTTTAGATTAAGAATCTAGTGATAATAACGATAATAATAATCACCTAGATAATAACGTATTGCAGTAGAGTAATGTCAAATAAAATAATATTAGGAACATCTTAAAAAGTAACAACGGCCGACTAGGTTTTTTCCTGAAAAAATTACAGCAGCCCACTAGATTCTTTATTAGAAAATGTTTTTTGTCCTGACATGTAATGCTTTACATTTTATTTTTTAATTTCAAATCGGTGAGTTTTATTAAAAAAATACGAGAGATAAAAAAGTTTCTGAACAAACTAAACTATCCAAATTAATTTTTTTTGCATGTGTTTGATAAGATTTTTCTATAAATTTCGTTAACAAGAATGATAGGGGTAGTTTATTTCAGCCCCTTCCACTCATTTTAAAAAAGTAAAAAAATTACCAGAAAGTGTGTTTTCATAACAGTAATGCTTCCATAAAATTTCATTAGTCTATCTCTTTTCGTTTTCAAGATAAAAAATAAAACATTATTTTGCCGCCATTTTTGTACCGCGATATCTGGTTGACTTTTGACCCAACGTTTATAAAACAAACTACCCTTTATTTTGAACAAGGTATTACCCGCTGAAATTTTTCGCATTTGCTTTGAAACACCCTGTATATATATATTTTGTTGTGATCACCACTTTCTCTATATACGTTAGGTATAGATAAAATAAAAATATACGGTGAGTTATACTAAGTGGTTTAAATATGGTGAATGGTGCAAGAAAATTAGAATGTAAGAGGAACTGGAGAAGACCGAAATTAATTATAACATGCCCTCATCGCCGTTACTGTATTTGCGCATTCCTTAGAATCATCGGCGGTACCACTTATATGAATAGTCGCTTTTGAAACTATTCAGAACGGTTACAAGTAGGCACTAAATTTAATGTTATTGTTAAGATGACACACCTTTGCGTTTTGTCTAATTGTTACTGTTTGTAACCGAAAAAAACAAGAGCTTTCTCTGAACAGACTAAATAGACTAATGGCGAAATTAGCATTTTTTAGGTTACCAAAAATTTGCAACTTTATTACAGGTATTATTAACAAATTTCTATATTAGTGAAACATTATCTCTGAAAGAGATCATTGTTTAAAAAAAATATATTGGTTAATTTTTTTAAATGTAAAAGAAACTACTTTAAAGAAAATCTTTTCCAATGCCACAAAAACAGAAAATTTGTAGTAAAGTTGTATTATGTACCGGGTGGCCAACTAAGAATGGACGCCGAATGGACGTTATACTTATCGTATAACTTTGAGAAAAAAAAAATTAATAAGTAAATCGACCAAGAGAAATCGCTGGAAATTATTTTCAAGTTCGAAAAATGTCGGGGGGCGTTTCTCTGATAGCCTATCAGAAAACAGGGGTTTTCTCAAAAATATGCAGGTGAATAGGTATTTTAAATATTAGTATTGTAATCGTCGAGAAATTTGCAATTTTTTTGATATAGAGTATTTTGCTCTATCTCATAAAATAAAGTGGTGGGGGAAGTTTACACTTTACACAAGATTTTATTAAAATAAGGATAACGCTGGTTTGGGTTGCCCGATTTAAACAAACTAGGGCTCCTTTGAAAGAGCTTTTCTCTCCTTAATGATCTCCAGTATAAATTTTGTTTCCATATTTTTTTTCGCGGTAGCTAGAGGGCGCTGTTTGACATCATAACAGATATTGCGCTTTTGTATAAAGAATTTAAACAGGAGGCTATATTTCTCTTTACACAGTTAAATAGAGCACAAAATTTCCAAAATATCAGCGCAAACCGCAACTTTCTATCTTCTCTCTAACCGGAGATATTAAGAGAACAAATCATGTTAGGCTGTACTATTAGTAGTAAATCATTAGGGTGGCTTGATATATAAAACCGCGTACATCTGCAAAACTGTTAAAAATTTTGAAATACTCTAAATACAAACAATTTTCATTTTTGAATTCTCCATCTAATAAAAAAATAATATACTTATATGTTGTTCAATTAAAAAAAAACGAAGAAAATTACTTTATATTTTAGAAAGTTTGGCGTAGAATTTTGAACACTCTGTATGATTTAAGATTTACGATAATTATACCAAAGTATAGACCATCTAAAGTAAATACCTAGTATAGTTTTGATTTTAGGACAGTTCTTGTATTTTTAATATTTTTTATAAGAAAGACTGAAAAATATGTATGTTTTATTAGTAATATATCTGAAACTAATCGAAATAATATATTTACTCATATCTGAGAATTATGTAAAGAGATCTGAAAAAAAACAAAAATGCAATACCTAGCAAGG